CCAGTCTTCTTTTGATATAAACGAAGAAGCTCTATGACGTGGCACTATACAGCTGGTCCTGTAAAAAACTTGCTTTCCAAGCTCTTGTTATACATGAAAACATGGTGAGGGTTTAGATGGTTAAATATTTTTATGGCTGGTTAACTCTACCATTTACCGGGCAATGGGTTGGGAATTGGGTTTATTTTGGTTTCTGCACTGTCTGATTTTCTTCTGTATGAACATTTAGCAATATCATGTGATTTGAATGGAAATGCATTTTAGTGTTTGGATGGATAAAGTTTGTCATACCCTTCAGTAACTTAGTTAATCGTATTCTATATGTGTTAACTAGATAATTATATCTCTTATCGTCATGTTTTCATGTATGGTTTTTTAGTGCTTTCAAGGGGTTTGTAGTTACTTTTATTTCTTGGATGGCCAAGTTTTCTCATACCCTTTATCTACGTTTATAATTGGATTCTATATGTTTTGGATATCCAACACCAATAGTAACTGGCACATATTCAGAACATGCTTGATGTGAGGGGATTTGTCCATGCAATTCACCTGGTCATGGTGGAGGTTGTACCTTCACTCCTTCGACATGTACCGCCTGGTGGTTTTTTAATACCAGATTCAGAACCGAATGTAGAGAAGGATGGGGACAATGATGTAGAGAATGAACCAGCGGATGACTCGGGGATTGCTAAGTTGAGGATAACCCCGTTCCACGCAATTAATCTGCATGAGTCGAATAATGTATGTTACCTCGTAACGTTTAAAATCTTAATTTTAATTGTTCATTGTAATATGGTAGTTTGTGTATTGTGTACAAGCTCTTGTTATACAGAGAAACATGGTGAGGGTTTAGATGATAAAATGTTTCATGGTTATGGTTAAATATTTTTATGGGTGGTTAACTTAACCATTTACCGGGCAATAAAATTAGGAATTGGGTTTCTTTTGGTTTGAAGGCTTAGTTATTTTTTTATCTTGGGAATTATCCTTGTCTAAATGCGGTGGTCCGAGCACTACATATTATTACCAGATAATAAAATTAGTTAACCATTTATTTTTATCTGTAACTGGGTAACACTAACTGTTAACCATGTATTTGTAACCGGGTAATAAAATTAATTAACCATTTATTTTTCTATGTAACTCGGTAACACATTTGTTAACTGACAACAAAATGTTATCCATCAAATATCTTCACAAAATGCTATAGATGAGTCACTTTTTTTTGTGGTAATTAGCTAACAAACGTGGCACCTAATTGACTCTATAAAGGATATGCGTCAAATTCTCTTTCCCTCTCAAAACGAAACACACACGGGATTACGCGAAAATATTTTCGTAATTACAATACGAATAGTAAAAAGTGCGTTGGTCATTATGTCACATCATAGTCATTTTGCTAATTTCTCTCCAAAATTTGGTTTTCTAGCAAATTGTCCCCAAATACAATGTATTCAACACAAAAATTTTAACAATTCTTGTGAATCCAATATATTTGGGATTTCTATAACACATATAGATTGTTATGATTATTTAAAGTAGTTTTGTACTTCAAATTTAACATATTATGTTTATCTTTGAAATAAAATAAAACGGTAACGTTACTTGTGATATTTTTTCGCTGATGTGTATTACTATATATATTTATAATTAATAAAAAATATAATTTTTGCATTTTTTAATATACAATATAAATCCCAAGGAAAATATAAATAAATAAATAATCATTATTTTTGACTTAACTTATCATCTAAATAACCAAATGAAAGTATTAAAGAAATCTTTGTATGGAAACCTCATTATATTATTGATAACATAATATGGAAGATCTATTAAATTTACATATATTATGGAATATTCAAAGATAAATTTAAAGTATATTCAAGGTCAATAGTATGGAAGATCCATTAAAGTAAGTTTAAATGGTTTATTTGATGTTAATCTATTAAATTCTAGTCAAAACCAAAGATGAAAATGAATATTATCTACGACTAACACG